TAATAGACGCCTTTATTAACTAATTTACCAATAGTGATGCCATTCCATCGATCACCAAAAGCAAAAGTGTGTTCATTTTATTCCTTTTTAATTAAGCATATTTCTTATATCCATTCAAATTAAACAATTTAGAATGTTTGAGAGTATTTCTAGTTTGAAATACTAAATAATTATATTTCACCGTTTTCTAATCCACAAATGAATATGTCATTATTTAGTTCTGTTATTTTATAAACTCTACTATTAGTCTTATAAATAGCATTTTATATTAAAAATTCATTGCTTTCATTTAAGCTAATCACACTAATGTTAGTATTATTATCTGCTACTAATAATTTATTATTTTATTTATGAAGTACTGATGCCTTAAAATCTAAAGTCTAAATCAATTAAAAATCTTATCCGATAATTCTGCATTGGCCATTAGTGATAATCTTGTTATCGAATAACTGAATGCTGTTTAATATCTCATAAAATATGAAATAATCTTATTGATATGAATTGATGAAATCACAATTGAATTGATGTAAATTTAAATCTAAATCATCTAATAATTAAACTTACTATTAACTTTGCTCAAATTAATTTTAATAAATTCCATTTTAAAAGTTTCTATGAATTTACACTTGGATGCAAGCTAACTTAACTATTTTTTCAATTATATTTGGTAAGTCCTAATAAACCAATTCTTTCAGAATAAATAAAGAGGCTTGAGAAATTTATTGTTCCAATGTATTAATATAATCTGCCAATTGCTCTTTTAGATTAATAAACTCAGTGCTAAACTATGTGAAAACTTTAAATACAGATTCCATGTTACTGCTATTAAATATTATTAGTTTTTTTATTACCAAAAATTTAGATACTCTTAGCGGATGGAGAATAGCCTAAGAAGACTTTTTGCCCAAACTCTGCGAATAGTTTAGGAATCAAAGTTTCTAAAATAAATCAGTGATTGTGATACTTAAGAATCTAGTTGAAGACTTGGGTAACTACTTCTTTATCAAACAAGAAATGAAGTGAGAATTTATCAAGCCAATTGCAATGATTGTAACAACTCTTTCCAAACTCATCTCAGATTATGAAAAGTAGAAATTAAATTCTAAATCAATGGAAAGCAGTTAACCAAAGCTATGTACCATATAAAAAGATTAAGAGAAAAAGTATGAGGTATCTAGTTTAATGGATATTGACTACCATCAATAAATAGTTTGTGAAAAGGATTAAATATCAAACAAATTCATAGATCCTTGGAGTGGAGCACCGTACAAGCCAAAGTGTGAATTAATACCACCAAGAAATGCAGTACCAATTAAGAGAGAGGATACCAAGTAGTTAAATACTTCTATATCATAAATGAGCAAGAAAATAAATTAGTTTAAACAGAGAGATAATCTATAAAAGGAAGAGTAGAAGGAAAAACAAAAGTTGTATTAGCAGATCAAGTAAAATTCAACAAAGAATTAGTATAAGAAGTTCAGAAGGGAGTAGGAGAGATAGGAGTAAAGATTAAAAGAAGCTGAGCTTAAGGCAACTGTGCAGCCAATTTAGGTATTTAAACTTTATTTAAACTAGATAGGTAAATGTTTATTTTTTAAGGGAAAATTATGTAAAATCTCTTAGATTTTTGTTTGCTGTACTAAATCGTGAATTATACTAGTATGATAAACATCATATCGATATTATGAACACCAACTATCTTGATATTATGATTGCTAAACTCTATTTTAAGCACACTATTCACTTTGAAACTATGAATAAATTCCTTGATATAGTAGAAGGTTGCCCTATTGTAACTAATTAATTAGGGGATAATCTATATTCATTTGACTATTAGACATATTTGGAGGTCCACCATAACATTAGACCTACCTATAAAATGCTGAGATACGAATTCCAAAAATGATATTAATTTGTGAAATGAAAGTTATTTGGCTTTATGATAATTAATTGATTAGCATTATATGCAATAAAACATTCCCAGCTATCTACATCTAAATTACATCGATTATGATTTATATTAAATCTTCTCAAATTAACTTGAGGGGTTTTGGGGTTTTGGGGAGATCGGAAG